GCAAGGAAATTGCTGTTATTACTAGCAAGTGCCCAGAGTATGTAGTTGGTGCTCCATTTATTTGTGGAGTTAAAAAAAAAAAAAAGAATGTCAGTAAAAAAAGAAAAAAAAGTGAGCACCAGTCTTTGAATGGAGTCAGAATTCTGAATCAAAAAATATTTGTGACTAGATGAAAAATAAAAGGGGGGTGGGGACTCTCCAGCTGGTCAGTGATTAGGACTCAGCGCTTTCACTGCCACGACCCAGTTCAGTCCCTGGTCATAGAACTCAGATCTTGCAAGCTATTCATTGTGGCCAAAAATAAATAAATAAATAAATAAATGTTAGTTCCTTGAGATTATGAATTTTTTTATTTTTGGCTTTGTCTTCCCTGCCAAAGAATGGTAGGTCCAAAACAAATATTCCTTGAATGAATGAATATGGAATTTTTTTCTAAGTTGCTGGTAGTTCCCTAGGTATTTGACTTAAAAAAACCAGCTCCAGAAAGTAAACTGCCTTAAAATCCTATGAATATTTCTCTCTAGGTGTTGGGATACTGAAATATTTCATTTTCGTGCCTTATTATTTTTCGTGATGAACCTGGATTACTTTATAACTGAAAAGAAATACTCTCTGTTTGAAAAAGAAAATCAGTCTCAAAGCATAAATGGCTTCAGAGCAGCATGAGTGTGACACTGACCTATACGTAGACGCTAACCTAATTCGAGTGAGCTCAGAGTCGCAGAAGCAGGAGTGAACTGACTTTGGTGTCAAAGCAGTTTCACTCACCATCTCTCTGGGGGTCATGCCAGTAGTGACTTAAGTCTGGCTAGGATGCGTGTGAGTGCTAAGGCGCTTTGGTCGTGTCTGACTCTTTGCGACCCTACGGACTGTGGCCCACCAGGCTCCTCTGTCCAGGGCATTCTGCAGGCAAGAATGCTGGAGTGGGTTGCCATGCCCTCCTCCAGGGGATCTTCCTGACCCAGGGATCCAACCCATGTCTCCTGTGTCTCCTTCTGCGTTGCAGGTGGATTCTTTACTGCTGAGCCGGGCTAGGATAGTAACCTCATTTCACAAACAAGGGACCTGACAGCCTAAGAAGCTCAGACCAGGACAAGGCTCTGTTTTGGGGCCTGGCTGGCCTGGGACTCAGGGCATCTGACTTTAATCCCAGTGACCTTTCACTCTGTCCCTGCGGCCCTTTGTGAAGACCCATTCAAGAAAGTGAGACAAGGACAGAGGTGGATTGGTGGACCAGGGACTCATGTGACAGGGCTTTCTGGGCATCGTTGAGTTCTTTTAAGGAGAAAAACGTCTGGCTTAGACTTTGTGAGTCAGACAGCAACCTGGGTTGGAATCCGTGTTCTGCCACACACTGTCCTGGACACACTGTTGCGCATCTCTGAGCCTCTGTGTTTCCATCTGTAACTGGCCTGACGTCCGCCCGGCAAGATTGTGGTCAGGGTCAAACTGGCACCAAGTATGTGTTTTCTGCAAGAGGTGGCTGTGCTGATTGTTATCACACCTGTGCTGTGTCTGTGTGCAAGCCTTTTTTTTTTCCAGTCATGTTGATACTCTTTGGTGTCCATGAATTAGTGTTCCCATGTGTATCAATCAGATTTTGCTGAGTAACAAAAACCTCAGAATCCAGTGACTTGCTTGACAGCCGATGTTTATTTTCATACTCATGGGTCTGTGGGTCGGTTGTGATTTGGCTAATCTAGGTGAGGCTTGGCTAGCTCAGGCTGGACTTCAGATCAGGTTCCCTGCAGGGTCAAGACTGAAAGGCAGCAGTTGAAAGGGGCTAGTGAAACCTCCTCCCCTCGTGGTGCATCACAGAGGGCAAGGGATAGACTTGGGAGCAGTACATTGTCTCGCTTCTGTCTGAATTCTGTTGTAAATGAGTCGTCAGTGGTCCAGTCTAGAATCCAGTGTGGAAGAACGAAAAGAACCACCACCCACCACGGTGGGAAGGACGGCAGAATCACATGCCGAAGGGTAGGGATGTATAATTGAAATCCAGATTGAGAGTGAAGAATAGAAGTGATCCATTCTATATACTGCCTTAATTGTTTGCTAGAGTGGAGCAAAGAGAGCAAAGGAAAGGCAAGATGAGAAATGGGCTGGGAGAGGCACTGATTATTTATGCCAGGACAGGGTCTTGTTTTTCATGTACATACAGCATGTTAAGTTGTGCTCAGGAGGTGAATGTTATGGGAAGATCATAGTCTGTGATTCTGGGGGGCAGTATATGTTTATGCTATGCCTGTACCTCACTACCTTGATTATTCCAGCTCTGCAGTAGATTTTATTTAATTCCTTATTTTTGGCTGTGCTGGGTCTTTGTTGCTGCGCGTGGACTTTTTCTAGTTTCAGAGAGTGGAGTCCACCCTCTGTTCTGGTGCTTAGGCTTCTCATTGCAGTGGATTCTCTTGCTGCAGAATATGGACTCTTGTGAGCTCAGCAGTTGTGGCTCATGGGCTTATTTGCCCTACAGCATGTGTAGTCTTCCTGGACCAGGGATCAAACCCATGTCCCCTGCGTTGGCAGCGGTATTCTTAACCACTGGACCACCAGGGGAGTCCTGTAGGATGCTTTGAAATTGGGAAATGTGAGTCCTCCAGATGGTTTTGCCTTTCCTGAGTTCATTGCTTTTCCATATCAATTTTAGGATAAGACTGTCAATTCCCCATCTAATTTAAATGTGTGACTTGAAGTTCAGAAAGTCAGTCACCGTTGGCATCTAAAGTTGAAGAAAGTAGTTTAATCAGTTATCCAACAAATATTTATTAATACTGTGGTGGACCCCACTCTGTGGTCTGGGGATACAACCAGAAAGTCCAAAACCCCGTTATCTTTGTGTGCTCACATGACTTATTATCAAAGCAGCAGTTAATCAGTGGATAATGCAGAGTTAAAAACTGAGATAAATTCTGTGATCTAATCTAGAGGAGTAGGAAGAGTTCCCCTGAGGAAGTAAGATTTAAAGAAGCACAGGCGTTAACTAGGCAGAGTCCATGGAAGCCTTACAGGCAGAGGGAACAGCAGGGCAAAGGACCTGAGGTAGGAGGACTGTGGCAAGTTTAGGATTTGAAAGCAGGTTGGGTGGTTGCAGCAGTGAGTCAGCTGCCTGGGTGGACAAGATGAGGTCAGGGAGGAGGTGGGTAGGAGTCTGACTATGTTAAATTTTATATATATATATAATTTTTTTCTTTTTTTTTTAGTGAGCTCTTTTTGCTTTTATTTATTTTTAAAAAATTTGGCTGTACCACATGTCATGTGCGATCTTAGTTCCCCAACCAGGGATAGAACCCATGCTCCCTGCAGTGGAAGTGCAGATTCTTAACCACTGGACCGCCAGAGGAGTTCCTGTTGATTGATTTTTATCTGGAAGCACTGAGAAGCCACTGAAGAATGTTAAGCTGTAGATGAAGAGATGACATGATCAGATTTATGTTTTAAATTATTCTGAATATTGTGCTAAGTTGCTTCAGTCGTGTCCAGCTCTTTGCGAGCCTATGGGCTGTAGCCCACCAGGCTCCTCTGTCCGTGCGATTCTCCAGGCAAGAATACTGGAGTGGGTTGCCATGCCCTCCTCCAAGGGATCTTCCCGACCCATGAATCAAACCTGCATCTCCTGAGTCTCCTGCATCGGCAGGCAGGTTCTTTACCACTAGCGCCACATGGTATCAGCCAGTTGTATTTGGATGTGGGATTTTTTTTTTTAATTGTTAAAAAACATTTTAAACATTTATGAGGCTATTGGGTGATATCAAGGAATTATCATCTTTTTAGGTGTGGTAAAGGTATTGCTGTTACATTTTTGTAAAAGACCTTTTATAGCGACACATGCTGTAATACTAATGACTGAAATAAGATGTCTGGAACTTGTTTCTAAATAGCAGTGTGGAGAGCGGAGGGGTTAGGGTGTGGATGGAGCAGAACTGATTATAAGTCATTTGGGCTGGGCAGTGGAGATCTCTTTTGTTGTGTCTGTACAAAATTCTGCATAATAAAACATTAAAAAGAAGGAAAAGATTGTTCTAGCTTTAGCATAGGGGATCAGATTTCAGAGGGAGAAATGATGACGAGGGGAAACCAGTTAGGAGGTAGTTGTAGGTGTAGTAGCCCAGGTTGAGAATGGTGGTCTGGTCCAGGGCTGTACCAGTGGAGATGGAGAGAGAGAGGGACAGGCTGAGAAATACCTAGGAAGAAACACGTGACTTAGGGCTGGCTTGGATACAGGAGTAAAGGAGATGGTGCTTCAAGTGTGTTCCTGGGTTTCTGGTCCCAGATGAAGTTACCACTCTGAACTGGGGATCACTGGAGAAGAATCAAGCATGTCCTTTGACTTCTCTTATTTTCACACCCCCCACATCTGTTTCCCCTCCATTCCAAAAATATTGAAGTTGTTCCCTTATGTAACACTTTTAATCCCAGACTTCCTCTGCTCTGTGCACTCAGCAATTAATTAAGCTTTGGTATGCATGAATTAATTAAAATCCTGTCTCCGGTTCAGAGGGGCTGTCCTGAAATATAGGGATTCATGTATATATCTACCTTCTTCTTGGGGTTGATTGCCTTGGCTGGGGGAACCTTTCTACTTCCCCGTGGGCACACAGCTGTGGCTGTCTATCTGTCTGTCTGCCATACCTGTCAGCACAATTTAATTTCATGTTTAGGAGCCCAGGTCTGGAGATGTTAATGACTTGTAAATTGCTCTCCAACGTAGAGCTAGAAATAGAAGGCAAGAAGGATTCCGGAGCACTTGCACACATTTACTGATGGAGATGTCAGCCCCAAAGTGGATTGCTGAAATGGTGGTTTCCCAGCTGTCTTCCTTCCCATTCCTGGATGGCCACTGTGGAGTGGGAATGTTCCTAACAAGGGTGCTGGCCTCCAGATGAAATCACGTGTTGGTCTGAGACAATGTCTTCTGTCTAAGCCCTGGGATGACTCTTGTCACCTTTTTTCTTGCCCACCCCCCCATCCAGGTAATTTTCTGATGTGACGGCTGAGACATGAGATCTTCAGCCTCCAGGCTCTCCAGTTTTTCATCAAGAGATTCACTATGGAATCGGTGAGTGGTCCAGAGAGCCTGGCCTGGGAAATGTGGAGGGATGCTTTTGGGAGGTTGAAATGCAGAATTTGATCAGACTCAAGCCCTGGAACCTGCAAGAGTGTGGATGTTAGTGGCGACCAGATCGTTGGCACTTGTAGAACTGCAGGCTTTCTGATGTGTCTCCTCTCACATTACGCGTCTCCTGTGTGCCGTGGGAAAGGTGGTGTGGCCCCTGAATAAAGTCAGGAATGAGGACAGAACAGCACTGTCAGCAGTAGTAAGTGCTGGTGTAGCCGAGTGGCTCTTTAAAGATACTGTTTCATTCAGTCCTCCTGATAATCCTACCAGGAAGGGCTTACCACATTCGTTTCACAGATGGACAACTTGCCCGACTGGATTTTTCTTTTTTAATTGGAGTATAATTGCTTTACACTGTTGTGTTAGTTTCTGTTGTACAACGAAGTGAATCATTTATGTGTATACATATATCCCCTCCCTCCTGGCACTCCCTCTGACCCTTCTAGGTCATCACAGCTGAGCTCTCTGCGCTACAGAGCAGGTTCCCACTAGCTGTCTGTTTTGCATATGGTAATGTATACATGTCAGTGCTACTCTCAGTTCTTCCCACCCTCCTCTCCCCACCTCCGACCCCCACTCCCCCCCCTCCATGTCCCCATGTCCTTTCTCTACCCCTGCATCTCTATTCCTGCCCTGGAAATAAGTCCATTTTTCTAGATTCCACATATATGTGTTAGTATATGATATTTGTTTTCCTCTTTCTGATTGACTTCACTCTGTATGACAGACTCTAGGTTCATTGACATCTCAGCAGATGACTCAATTTCGTTCCTTTTTATGGCTGAGTAATGTTCCATTGTGTCTCATATCTTGCCTGGTTGGATTTGAAACCAATTTTCCTGATTCCAAGTCTCTTGTCTTTTTCCTCCTGCAGTGTTGCCTCTTGTAGAGGTATGATTTGCCCTATTTTGCAGCTGGGACTACTGGGGCCTGGCATAGAGGCACGTGATAGAATCTTAAGGCATCTGACCTCAGTGGGTGGAGGTTTGTGTTGGTGGATGATTTAAAAAAGAATTGTACTGGACAGTCTGTGAAGAGCCATGAAGAGTCAGCAGAGAAAACTGAAAGAGTCCGAGCCTCTTTAAGTTGCCAGGGTGAGTCAGCGAGGGGTCCACCTGCTATGACTGGCATACCCCAGAAATCAGCTTGGTGGTGGGAAGACTATGGGTGCTGGACAGGTGGTTGAATCCTTGCTCTGCCCCCGTCTTGCTGTGATCTCAGGCAAGTCACTAACTTTCTCTGTTCTTTTTTCTTATCTATGAAATCTGGGTGATAATATTTATGTTTCAGGGTTTTGTGAGATTAGGAAAAAAGGTCTACAAGAAAGTGTCTCATATAATGTAAGGGCGTAGAGCATTATAATTATTCCAGTTTTTAAGATGAAAGTCATATTTAAGGATAATTAGACAGGAGTGCCCTCAGTGTGGAGGAGAAGTTAGAGGCTGGAGGCAGGGAGGCCAACTTAAGAGGCTTTCATGTGACCCAGACATGAAGTAATGGGGACTGTTGTTACCATCTTCTAGGATAAATGAGACTTTGCCTGCTGATTTTCATAGTTTGACTCTTACAGAATTATGTTTTATTTTGTTTTGTTTTATAAATCAAGAATCCAACACGAATGTGACATTAGTTTTATAGATATCTGTTTAGGTGATATTGTTACCAAACCAAACCTGAGTCTGCTCGCCCAACACACAGCAAAGTGAATCTGCTGACACCAGGTTGTGGTGAAGGAAAGTATAGCTTTTATTGCAGGGCACCAAGCAAGGAGAATGGGCTTGAGATCTGAACTCGTGAGGGAGAGGGTCACAGGGTTAGTGCATGGTTCTCTGATTGGCTGCTGGTGAGGTAACAGGGTGGTGTTTTGGGAATCTCATCTATCAACTTTTGCTTCCAGCCCCAGTCTGGGGTCCACATGTTAGTGGTCAGCATGCAGCAGCTTCCATCTGGTGGAGGTTTCAGTATCTGCAAAACAGCTCAAGGATATGGCTCAGGATGTTACCTGTAGCCCTCGAGGAGGAACTAAAGATCTTGACTTTGTCTTATGGCTAAATTATTATTATTTTGTCTTACTTCACTGCTTTCTTTGTGCATATTCTCATTTCTCTGATTGAATTTGCTCTTTGAATCTTGGGGAAGGCCTTGGAGGCTAAAGCTTTTATAGAAACAAGTGGTAGAGAACATGGTAGGGTGTGTGTGTGTGTGTGTGTGTGTGTGTCTGTCTGTCTGTCTGTCCCTGGGAACATCCTGCAGAGTTCAGTTTCAGTTTCAGTTTCAGTTCATTCTTCAGTTTCAGTATTAATTACAATTGTAATAAGAGTGCATTATTTAAGATTAGGTTTTGTTATGAATGATGTAGAATCTAAAAGAACATTAGCTTAAATAGAAAATAGAAGTATATTTATCTCTTACCTAAAAGTTCAGTTACAGGACTGCTACAGCAACCGGTGAAAGACCCAGACTTTTCCTCTCTTGTTTTTCTGCCGTGTGGGCCTCCATTCCCCTCAAGGTCACCTCATGGCCCATTCTGACTGCTTCTGTGCCAGCTATAACATATACCAACAGGAAGAAGGGAAGAAGAAAGGCAGGCCCCCCCCTTTTTTTTAATCACAAATAATGCTTTTTAATTGTTTAGCTTCTTACCGTACTCACATAACAGAAACTGACCAACCCATGTCGTTTAGTCTCTTAAGTCGTGTCCATCTCTTGCAACCCCATGGACTGCAGCCTGCCAGGCTCCTCTGTCCATGGGATTTCCCAGGTAAGAATACTGGAGTGGGCAGGCAGGCCCCTTTAAGGATGCTTCTGGGTATCACATGTGCTGCTTCTGCTTATAGTCTCTTGGCCAGAATTTAATTATACTTAATTCAGCTATACTTAACTGAAAGGAAGGCTGGGAAATATGATCTTTCTTCTGCAAGACCACCTGCTTACAAAAATTGAGGATTATTATGAGACCAAAGGAAGAGAACAGATATTGGAGGACAGATCTTTCTTTGCTATGCAAGTATTTATTAAAAAGAGTGCTTTTGAGAGGATAGACTCTGTGGCCAGACTGCTGGTATTAAAATCCTGGGTTTAGGACACTCTCTGTGACCTTGGGAAAGCTACTTAACTTCTGTGCCTTTATCTGTACTTATCTTTTGTGCCTTTAAGTTCAGTTTCTTTATCTGTAAAATCCTATTTTATCTCTGTTCATAAGGATTGCTTTGAGCATTAGATGAGTTAAGGTACAGCACTTGGTCCAGTATCTAGAACATTGTGTGTTGTAGAGTGTTAGCTATTACTATTACTGCTTCTTCTAATAATACTTCTTCTGTTAACCACTGTTACTTACTACATCTATTGTTACCATTGGTGCTGCTTCTATTATTGCAACTACTGCTTCTCCTATCACATCTGCTGCCGCTGGTCCTGTTACTACTACTATTACTATTCTGTGACTGTTTCTGCCAAGTATTGCACATACATATATGAAATGCTATACTCGTGGCATGGTGTTACTCACATCCCTAATGTGAAGATAAAGTCAGGGAGGATTGTAGCATGTCAGATGCATGCATCTTGCAGGATAGTAGGTCACCTTTGGGGTGGGTCGGTGAAGAGTGAGTGACCTGTAGGGAGCACAAGGCAGCTTCTGAGATTCTGCGAGTGCTCTGGGTGCTGGTTACACAGGTGTCAAAATTCTTCGACTGGTACTTTTATGACGTAGACCATTTTGTGCGTTTGTTGTATATTTCAATCAACATCTCATGGAGCAGATAGGTGATCGACCCCGCCTGATTCTGAAGCCATCACCCTTTTTTAACAGTGATGTAAAGCCCAACACCGTTACTTCTTTTCATCTATTTGTTTGTTTGTTGGCTCTTTCATATAGCATATATATATTCTTATTACTCAGGTGCCAGGAACTGTGCTCAGTATAAGCAGCCGTATAACTCAGCCCTATGCTCATGGGGCTTTCTGTCTAGAGGAAAAGGAAAGATAAACGCTATACAGATTGGAATTTCCCTGGTGGTCCGGTAGCTAAGACTCCATGCTCCCAGTGCAGGGGGCCCAGGTTCCATCCCTGGTCAGGGAGTTAGATCCCGCGTGCCACAACTAAGCACTGGTGCAGCCTAAATAAGTAAATATTTTTAAAAAATCATACAGATGGACAGCCACTGGCTTAGGCTCAGCGTGGGATGCCCTGGGGCCACAGGAAGGTCACATAAACTAATCCAACCACTGAGTCCTGTGTCTGATAAAATAACAGTGATATCCATCTCAACTGACTGCTTTGATAGGGTGGAAAGTCCCCATGTCCCTGCTTAAGCTGACCAAGTCAGGGCTACATCAAAACACAGAAAACGGTTCTTTGCCTTTCCTGCTAACTGGCTCTGAGACGGGGTCAGCCTTTCTTTTCCTCGTTTGTCACTGTGACAGTCGTTGACCTACACCTGGTGTCTTATGGAGCAGACAAGTGCTGGAGCTCTGGAGTTCAGTATACAGAGGGAAGATGCCCAGGAGCAGAGGTTCTCTATCGGCTTCACCAGTGGCTCATTGGTAAAAAAATCTGCCTGCAGTTCAGAAGCTGTGGGTTCGATCCCTGGGTCAGAAAAGTCCCCTGGAGGAGGGCATGGCAAGCCACTCCAGTGTTCTTACCTGGAGAATCCCATGGACAGAGGAGCCTGGTGGGCTACAGTCCACAGGGTCACAAAGAGGATTCATTCAGAGATGACTGAAGCAGCTTAGCATGCACACACACAGAGTTTCTCTATATGTACTGGGACATGAGTCCAGGGGCCTCGAATATATTCTGTATATTCATACAGAATAAAAACACTGGTGATCAGTGACTAAGACTGTGCACTTCCAAATCAGGGGGTCTGGGTTCCACCCCTGGTGAGGAAACTACATCCCACTTGCCGCAACTGAGACCCGGTGTACTCAAATACATA